TTATATTCAAATTAATTATCTAAAAACATCTAATATTTATTAACATTTATTATATTTAAAAAAGTAAAAACTGCTATTAATTGGAAATTCAACATGAAACCTTGAAGCTCAAAATTTTAATTTCTTTTAATGAGAGTGAAATTCAATTTTTTGGGTCAGCTTCATCCTTTATCGGGTTATGTCGACCCCATTCAAAATCGATCTGTAAAATTTTAGTTTTATTTTATCTCTTTTATTTTAAAATTTTAAATAAATCACATGTGTTCCAAGAAATAACTGTTTTCAATAAAACTTTAAGATTAAATCCTAAATCAAATAGAAAATGCTAAAACTTAAGAGAAAAAACTAGTAATATATAAATGTACTACGTGCTTTAAATCTAACATTATTGTTAAACAAACATTCAACACAAAATTTTGAAAAAATGGTAAGGTTTTTTTTGATATTCATGAATCTAAGTTGGATAATCACAAGTTTAGTGCAAATTTTAAAAAATAATAAATTTATTTTAAAATAAAATAAAATAATAAATTTATATAATATTAAATCATAGTATTTAATTGATTGAGGATATCCGTATCCAATTAATTTCAATCGACCGGATGTATATAAAAAAAAAAGTCAATATTTTATAAGTTTCTGGGTCATAAGTAATTAACCAAATATTTATTTCTTACCATTAAAAAAACTAAAATATTTATGTCTAATAACTCAGCATAAATACTCTTAATGAGTACCAATTATATTCAAGTAAACATAGTATTGGGTAGTGCGAGTCTTAGGGCACCTTAGTATTTGCAATCAACAAACTCTCATCTTCTCCGCATTCTATCGGTAATCAATCAAACCCTTTCTCCTCATTCATATTCTCATTATCAATCATTATTATTCATTTTCACTACTTACATTGCATGCTTTCAAAATCTTTGTTTTTCTTGTGTGGCTTTGTGTAGTCATGGGAAGACTTTTCCTTATCGATCTGGAAGGAGACTTTTATAGTTGCAAGCATTGCAAGACAGCTTTTGCCCTTGTTGATGATATCATTTCCAAGGTTTTCTATTTTCCTTCCCTCTGACTTTAATTTGATATATTGTGATGATGTCTATTACTGAATTGATGAGTAAACATGAATCATGAATTTATGGAATAGTATATGTTCTCCGCAAATCTAATCCTCGTTTTCTTTTAGTCATTCCAATGCAGGCATGGGAAGGCTTATCTTTTTGACAAAGTGTAAGCTTTCTTTCACTCTCTCACTTTCAAATTAACACAACTATTATTAGCTGCCACTGCTATTGTTTCATAAAAAGCTTTTAACTTCCTAAGAAACTGAATATAATAGCTTATGACATGTTGCTAATCCGTATTATGGCAGTGTGAATGTCACGGTCGGAGAGAAAGAAGAACGGATTATGATCACAGGAATGCATACTGTCGTTGACATATTCTGTGTTACATGTGGTTCCATTGTTGGATGGAAATATGTAAAGACGCTTAATTCTTCAATCTCATGAGTTTTTAATTATTTGTTTGGCGTTAATTTTATATCTTTTTTCTTAGGAGGTAGCTAAGGAGAATTCTCAGAAGTACAAAGAAGGAAAATTTATCCTTGAAAGGTAATCAATTAATCAACTATGTTATAGCCGCCACGTAACAAATTCGTAATTTTGCATTTTGATTGCATGTGATTTATATTCATAGGTATAAGGTGTTGGGGCCTGATGGATCAGAATACATGCCTCCTGTAGAAGATGCTGAAGATGCTTGATTGATCCGTTTTGAATTGTTAATTCTCTATGATTCATTATGCAGTTGATATCTAGTATTTCAGAAAATAAGTACTTTACAAATCTGTTATTTTGGAATTGGTTGTAATACAACTTTTAAAAGCTGTTACAATTAGTTACTTGAACTGTAATAGCATTTGTTTCTGATGTGTCTTGTTTTCATGTCTATTAAATTATAGACAATCATCCTACTCTTTAGTTAAAATGTAGGTGATGATGATTCTGAGTAGGAGTATGATTGTCTATTAAATTATAGACAATTATGCTTCCTTAGATCTTAGGACAGATACGATCCTAATAAAATGACATTTAGAGTAGTTTCTGATAACCAAACATGTTTTAAAAGATGAAAGGTCTTGTGAACACGTCAGAGCTTGAGAGAAAGTTGTGTGGCTCTTAAAAATTAAGGCCGGCTCAAGCCGAAGATGAGTCAAGCAATCGCCTTAGATCTCACTTCGTTGGACTATTAAAATAGGTTCAATATCTTAAAATATAGACCTCTAAATTTATGTAATTAACCAGAGTTTTTAATTAAATTTAACAAAACATGGTTGTTGATTAGTGAAGAATGTGGTCCAACAAGTCACTCAATGATATTTGTTTTACAAATTTTAAAAAGTTATGAAATTTGATTGATTTCATAAAATTATGTATTTGAGAAGAATGACATATTGTCATAAAAATATTTTTCAATTAAATGCGTACTTAAATTGATAGAAGTTAACGAGAGTTTTCAATTAAATGCCTATTTAAATTCTTTAATTAATCATGATATTTGTTTTAAAGTGAAAGAATTGATAAATAGTTAAATGACATCTATATTACTTTTAAAACTATGGAATGTTCAAAACTAATAATAACATTTTTTTAAAGTTTTTTTTTAATGAGCAAAATTTGTATGTATATCTTTAAGGATCCCAACCCATTTTCAATTAATCTCCTAATAATCTATCAATCAAGTCCAAAACCTCATCATTAAACATTATTTGGTTTCTAGAATATTAAATATACCAACAAACTATTTTTTATATCTAAAATCCAACCACATTATCCACAGCTAAAGCTTTAAGTTTGAGTCTTTCAATCCAAACCACCAATGTTCAAAATACCTTTCAACTTGCATAGAAATAATCTCTCTTCAACTTATGGAACAATTAAACAATAAATATCAAACATCTTCTGGAGAGTTAAAACACAAAACACACACTAGTTCACGGTGGTTTAAAGTTAAACTCCTCCTCATGAGATTATCCCTAGTATGCAGCCTATTCAAGCATAATTTCTAAGAAAAAATCTCAGTTTTCAAAGGTGTTGATGCATTCCACAAAATCTAAAGGATGAACTTGCATTCAACGTCCAACTTATCTTCTGCAACTTGTAGAACAAGCATGTCATAACAGAACTTCACATGAAAACATTTTGATTTACAAAACGGTCAGACAATATTATCTTCACATCCTATTCTTGGACACACTTCTCCCAACATCAAATATAGATCATGATACACATGTTGCAAATCTATATCAGTCTTTTCCAAGTGTAAGTCCAACTGCCAAGACCAAACCACCCCATTCCAGGATCCCATATCAGACACAACTCCCAATTTGTTATTAGTTCTATGCCATAACCCAGGGAAGATGAATGCTATGAGCCAATTTCCAATCCACCTTGACAACCAAAATAAAGGCTTAATACCACCTCCTAGTTTGAAGTATAACATACCAACAAAAGAGCCTTCCCTACAAAGTTTGTCCACTTTAAAGATCCTTCCACCAACTTGAGGAACAACAATGATACTCAGGCATTGCACCAAACATCAAAGCTTTCTTGAAATTACAATATATTCCATCTAGTATTTCTTCCCAAATGGCCTCCTTATCTGTTAGCAATCTCCAGACCCATTTGGAAAGTAATGCCCTGTTAAATAGACCCAAGTCCCTCACCCTCAAACCCTCTTCCTCCTTTGATCTACACATTGAGCTCCACTTTACCCAAGTAATTCCTCTTTTAGCCTTCGACCCCAGCCAAAGAAAGTGCCTTTGGATAGCCATCGGTTTTTGCAGAAAATCTAAGAGAAAGGGAAAGACAAGGTCATCGCAACCAAATATTGGGTTTGGGAGTTGGTTACGCAGGGGGAAGGTATGAGCACCCCTCCCGTCCGTTGTACTCAACGGGATCCATGCTTATTGTCTAATCTATGAGTGAAAACTATCTAATGCTACTGCTAAACGAGGGTGAAGAGAAAGAACAGACTCGATAGGACATCGCCCCCTATGCCTACATATTCCCTCGTGCAATGGGAAAGTAAGAGTCAACGTAGTTCAGGAAACTACGGGTGATGGGGGGAAGGTTGCTCGCCAAGACATCGCCGTCTTGTGCCTACGTATCCTAATCTGGTATAAGAAATCAAAGCAAACGTAGTTCGGACAACTACGGGATAAGGTCTCGATCGCACTGGGGCGAGAGAAAAAGGTTCAGAATAACAAGTTAGTCTCGATTGCACTGGGGAAAGAGAAAGGGGAGGTTAGTTGTTAGTGTGAGTGACGTTAAATATCCATTCCAGCAGTTAGGGACAACGTCTATTTGCGGTAGAACAGAAAAGTAACGTACTCTGGGGAAAGGGTGGAAAAGAAAGAAGAGTGCTCGCCAAGACATCACCGTCTTGTGCCTACGTATTCTCATCTGGTATGAGAAATCAGAGCAGTCGTAGTTCGGCTAACTACGGTTAACGGGTCTCGATCACACGGGTGCGAGAGGAAAGGGGTCTCGATCGTACGGATGCGAGAGAAAAGGGTCCTAGGCCTAAAACGCCTAAACAGAAGGGAATTGAATTGCTTTGGGACACGTACCACGCTAAATCATAAGACGTAGGAGCGAATGCGTCGCATATCGCCCAAAGGGCATATGCTAAACACTCTAGACAATGTGAGAAGAGACCCCCCCACTTATCATTTCCTACGCATATAACGCTTACGACTCACAACACTCATCGTGGATACGGGTTTGAATTAAGGTTCGAAAGGTATTAAGTGAATCGAATCGGGACCAATGTGACGCTAAACCGTCATAGCTCGACTTATGAGGGAAGTCAAGCTATATGAGGTCGCGTGATTGATATCCGTGCTATGGACAAGATAGAGAAATGATATTGAGGATCATTCTCCGATTTAATCGTGTCGCACGGACCAAAAATGGGATCTCGTCTTAATCGCAAACATTATGTAGATTAATCGAAGGTACCCTATCGCGATCCCAAAGTAAAAAAAAAAAGACCCAAATGGTCATTTTCCATAGATTTGAAATCAGGAAGGTTATCAACTTCGATAATCCGACGCTTACGAATACAAGACTTCATCTATCGAGGAAAGTCAAAATAAAATCGAAAAGAAGAAGAAATGAGGAGAGAAAGGAGGTGGTATCGGATCCAACATTATTCATCAATAGTTTGACAAGTAACGGTTTACAGAAGTCTCGTCATCGACCAAAAAGCGGAAAAAATGAAATAAAGATGAAATAAAGTCGAAAATGAAAACGAAGAGAAAAGTCGGTCTCGGATCTATCGTTTTTCATCAATAATTTGACAGAAAAACATAGAGGTCTATTCATCGACCCAAACGAGGAAATATGAAAATAGACCCTCAATAAAAAATAAAAAGCATTAAAATCTAACTTTAAAAAAAGATATTAAAAATCTAAAAAAAACTAAATTAGACATATTACATATTAAACTAAAAAAACTGAATTATATAAAAAAACTAAAAACTAATTTATAATTAATATGTTAACAAATCTTTAAAACTAATTATAGAACTAATTTATAAAATATGATTTTTTATTAAAAAATAAGAGGGAGATTTACATTGACAAGGGGGTGTGAAAAGAGTGGGGTTCATCGTGGGCCTGGAAGCCCACCGTAACACACCAATAAGAAGCATGAAGAGCAAAAAACAAAAGGGGCTTCAAAAAAAAAACCAGGTCCAAACTAGCCTCATTTTTATTTTCAAATAAATTAAAAACCTAACAAATTAACAAGAAATGGCAAACAACATTCGTGGCCTTCTATCTCCCCATGGTAAAACTGAGTCAAACACCACAAACAAGGCGTACAGAATACACAAACAGAGGCCATGGCGGATCAAAAAGGAAGAAGGTCAGAAATCTGGGTAGCGGTTTTAGAGAGGGGAGATGAACGGTGCGAGTTTGTTGATGAGATTGATCGGAGTTGGAGTTTAATGGTGGAGGGTTTCTGGGAGTTGAAGAAGGTTATTGAAGGAAATGATTTTCGTGTTTGAGAAATGGGTTTGGTGAGTTTTGCAGTGGATTCACGGATGGGTGACGGAAAAAATGGGGTTTGAAGGAGATGGAGTGAAATGGGTTTTGCAGAAGATGAAGGGTATGGTGGTCGAGGGTTTCCCTTCTTGGGAATGATGAACAGTTGTTGGCTTATATAGAGAGCGGCACACCTTATTTGGGACCTTATAACTGGAAAAGTAGTGCACAGGTAAATTGGAAATCACTGAGTTAATAAGGGTAATTATACCCCTCATAGACAAAAACCTTCCTTTCCAACTAGCCACTCTAGACTTCATACAATCAATAACCAGATTCCAAAAAGATATTCTCATATGATTGCCTCCCAGACATAGGCCAAGGAACTTGAATGGGAGAGCATCAATCTTGCAAGCCAAAAAGAGTTCCACATCTTTCAAAAAGTAATCATCCACTCCAATACCAAAAAGAGAGCTTTTACCAAAGTTAACCTTGAACCTTGATATAAGTTCAAATCCCATTAAAATTGATTTGATAGCCCACAAAGTAGACAAAGTCCCTTCACAAATCAACACAATATCACCTGCATACTGTAAAAGATTGTATGAGCCATTGTTACTAATATTGAAACCCTTTAACATTCCCCCCACAACTGCTATATTGATAAGAATGGTCAGCCCTTCTGCCACAATTGAGAAAAAATGTGGAGATA